TGACAAACAGAAGCATTTTTGGAACATGAAAATTAAACAAAATCTTCCATAGGTATTTTCCACAGACAATTATTTTATTCACAACACAACAGTCATTGATAGACCACCAATTTAAAATCTATATCCCATGTTAAAATGGTTCATAAAATACTGCACTACAGTACTTAGATTTCAAGTGAAAATAATATTTCAAACTGTGTAACGTTTTTGGAATGTGTTTATAATGTGTACTACTTAAAGCTATTTTAAAATAAAGTGAACTATTACTTGTTGAAGGGGGAATTAATAAAGGAAACCTCTAAGAATTTCAAGCACTACATCTCTAGCAAACGCATAGATTTAAATAATCATTTTAAAATATTTTGCTCGTAAGTTAATCAAAGTAGAAAAATTAAGAATATTGTGATGCCCATCTTGAATTGCTGGTGTACAATTGATATTTTACTGTGTAGCGCTAACTATTTTGAATAAGCAGTAATGTTACAAAATCCTATTTTTAATCTTGATATAGTAGACAATATTAAAGAACAGTCCTACTGAAAGAATAACTGTATTTTGAGGCAGTCAAAATTCCAAATTAAAATTTTAGCCAAGTAAACTGAAATTTTCAGTGTAGAACCAGATGTAGAGTAAAATTTCTTTAGATGTCATCATACTTTCAGCAGCTGTCATTCAGAATTAAGCCAACAGCATCTTATTAGGGATGTAAAATCCAGTTTAATTGCTTAACTGATTAAACACAGTGTTTAACCGGTTAATCAATTAAAGGGAAGGTAAGCAGTGGGGCTGCAACCAGGCTGGAGTGCTCCTGCCTGTGGAGGGTCCTGTGGGGCTGAAACAGCCAATTGAAATAGCCTTTGAAGGGAGAAGCTTAGCAGTTAACCATTCACATCTCTACCTCCAATATATGAAATCAGCTATGGGCAGTGGAATAGTTTATGATTACTCTTAATTTTACTTCTCTCTTAGTTTTATAGTTATTTCCCAATTTTTTGCCATCGCCAAGTGTGACTGGGTATGAGCCTAGCCTGTTTATTAACCCCTTATTTACAGTTTCTAGGACCCTTCCACCAGCCCCTAAGCCTGCGTGCACCAGGTCCTTTCCCTTTTTCACTCTCCAATGGACCTGACGATAGTCAGGCCTTGTCTTAAGATCGGTAGCAACGATCCACCGCCTGTTCTCGACAACCCTCCTCGCGTCTCAGGGAGACAGGGGGCCAGGCCCGCCCTCACTCGCGGGCCCCAACCCAGGGCCCTAAGAACAAGGACTTGCCTGTAGTCCTGTCTGACTGGCAGGGCTTTCCACCACAACACGCCAGCCCACAGGCTTAGTTCCGTCGCCCTGCCCTTGTGCTACTTCTTCCCCCCTTTTTGCCTAATTGTGGGCGTAACCAGTTCCATCACCAGTACTGGAGGACGCCGATAGCACCTCCCGTGGGGGCCCTACTCCCCCGCCCCTTTCACGGGGTTTGTTACTGTCCTCCCTTGCCTTATCTCCCTTCCTTCCCCTCTACCCCCTCCTGCTTTCCTGCCCCAGGGTTTAAATCTTACTGCCACTCCTTGTTGTCCCCTTTGGCGTCCTCCCTTCCCCCGCCCTCCGTTGTGTGCTCCACCCCTTTCCCTCGACGTGCTGACATCAGAGGCGTCAGTTCACACCCTGGACCCCATTTCCTCCTCCTCTTCCCATGCCACTGAAACCCCAGGGGGTTGTTTGCTGTGGTGCGCCCATTTGGGAGCAGCCGAACAGCCAGCGCATCGCCGATATCCCACCTCTCGTGCCGCAACCCAGGCGGCGACTGAGAGATCCATAGTGCGGGGCCAAGGAATAAACCATACTTGAACTCTCCCATTTTTGTTTCCATTGTTTGAAAAAACATAATATATATCAGTCCTGGGCAACCTGTGTCCCGTGGGGCACCAGCAACCAGCAGCCCACTTGGGTTCAGCCTATGGCCCACACATCCGATCTGCCTCCTCCCCTATTCACACTTGTGCACTGGAGCCTCGCACTTCCTATATCCCCTCCTGCTCCCAGCATTTTCAGAGCATTATGAATCTGCTCCCATCCCCAGCTCCTCTCTTCCCTCCAAGAGCTTAAATGCTGTGAATCAGCTGTTCATAGCTGTTCAAACTTTTGGAGGGAGGGAAGGAGTGGGAACAAAGTGTCAATCAGTGGATTCATGGTGCTCCAAAAATGTTGGAAGGGCCGAGGGGGGATTAACAAGTGTGGGTTTCCCGTGCCTCAATATGCAAGAGGCATGGAGGAAGGGGGCAGAGAGAGGACGTGGGGGCAGCAGTTGGAACCCCAGTGGGCTGTGGGCCACAAGATGCCCATCACTGTGGCTCACTGAGACAAAGGAGGACCATTCATGCAGCCCACTAACTAGTTTTTGGTTGCCCATTGCTAGTATATACAGTACACTGCCAGCCAGCACTACTTAATTAGCTATTGTGAGGACCAATCATGAAATTGTGATTAAATTGTCAACATCCAGGTATGAAGGTACACATTTAAAAAAGGCAGTTGGCAATTAACCAGAAAAATAACTCTTGATCTGAAGATTATCTAAAAATGAGTATCTTAAATTGCGGAAGGGACATCAAAGGACAAATATGCAGCATGGTACCATGAACTTCTACAAGTGAGGATCAGCCCACTACATGTCCATAGATGAAGTTGATCACATATTTTTCAAATTTCAGTGAAATTAATAACTTCTCATTTTCCTCTCCCTTCCTCTCCAGCTGAATATCTAAATTTAAATATTTTTAAAACACGAATTTGCCTCATAATTGAAAGCTTAGGCTTCTTGGATCGCATGATTCAGTTTCAAATGGAGAAACTTCTTGGATTGTATTACTTTCTTGTTTGTAAAGGTGCTGATAGAGTGAGCTAGTTGATGTCTAAGCACACGTGAAGATAAATATTTACTGAGATTAAAAAATTGTATTTGTATATATTGTGTTGTTTTCCTTTATTTTTGTATTTTGTTATGAAAGATGCATGAAAGCAAGGTCAATAAATTAAAGCATTACAATAACAATTACCAACAACCCAGGCAAATACTTAAATCTTCTGCTAATGTGTCATAACTTCTCAGAAAGTTTTCCCAACAAAGCCTAAAGCTGATACGTAGCAATTGCATGATCAGGTTGTAAACAGGTATACTTCTTTTTCACAGGTTTTCTGTAGTAATTTATAACACTTTTCAGTTTAAAACAAAGTTTGATCTTAAGATTTCTCTCTGAATACTAGCCTCCTCTTCTCCTTTACATTCTTCAGCCTATATGCAATTAACCCTGAAAACAGAGCCAGAAAGAAAAGATTTGCTGTTCACAGCAGCTTGAGATAGAGAAAAAAAATCACTACACTCTACATTTAGGTGTTAAAATCTCAAGTAGAAATGTTTAACACTGCATAAATAAATAACAATTTATTCAACACAGAATATTTCCAAACTGTAGCATCCTAGATATTTTATTTGATATTCATTAAAATGCGTTCATCCACAAACCCAGTATCTCTTCAAACATTTGTAAGTTTTTCCAGATGATACAATAAAAGCATCATATTCTTACCCTGGTGATTATTTATTACTGTTAGTAATTTGCATTACTGTGCTAACTCAGGATCAAGTCTTTCTTGTGCAAAGAACTGCTGCTTTAAAAACCCAATGAAACCAACCAAAACAGATGGTCTGTACCCGCAAAGAGCTCAGAGCTGTATCCACAAAATGTACTTATGCACTGCAGCACCTCACTTCTAGCGTCCCAGTAGAATCCTTGGATTTCAGGAGCAAAATGGGCAATTAGGTGCCTAAATCCCTTTGTTGACCTAACCCTTACTATCTAAGGCCCTGAAAGAATCATAGAACTAGAAGGGACCTCAACAGATCATCTAGTGCAGTCCCCTGCACTCATGACAGAAATGATTTAGATTAATATTTAGTTCTGAAGGGCTACGTCTACACTGGCCCCTTTTCCGAAAGGGGCATGCTAATTTGACAGGTCGTAATAGGGAAATCCGCGGGGGATTTAAATATCCCCCGCGGCATTTAAATAAAAATGTCTGCCGCTTTTTTC